AAAAAAAAAAAAATTCTGGCCTGCTGGCTGAGCCTGGTCAAGGAATGAGTTCTCACCAGTGCCCCCAAGAGGGGCCCAAGGTCACTGCAGGTGCCTGCCCAGCCCAGCCTTCCTGGGCAGCCCCTATGGGGTGGTGGGAGGCGGAAGAGTGGCTTATATCTGCACATTCTCAGTGTTTGAAAAAGGAAAAGGAATTACTATTTGGTAGTAAAATGTGTGTTCCAGACATACTTAGGGTACACATTCTATTTCAACATACAATATTTTCTCTTGCTCATTCAAGTCAAAGTGTTTATAAAATATTTCTCCAAATGACAATCCCTTGTGCGTGTGGCTAGCTGGGGAAGGCAAGGGCTGAAACAGTCAGAGCTGTACAGTCCAAAGTCACACGTGACGATTCTAATTTACATTAGTTAAAATGAAATAAAAGTAGAAATTCAGCATTTGCACTAGCCAGACGAGAGCACTGCCTACCACACCGGGCCGTGCAGACCTCATCCATCCTGACAGAGCTCCATCAAATAGTGCTGATCCAGGGACCCACGCTGGGGCACCAGCGGTCCTCCTTAGCTGGGATACGCCTAAGATGCCCACGCAACTTCACGTGTATTCCAGGCCTGGCCCTCTCCTGGGCTCAAGCACCCTGGAAGCTCCCTTGCTGGCTCTGGGAACGAGATTTAGACACACTTCCCTCCCCCCATAGTCACACCTGCCCACCACTCACCACCACCTGCTTCATTTTCATAAAGAGCCTTCACGTGGCCCCAGTAACTAATTACCATAAACTTGGTAGCTTAAAACACAAATGGGCCAGGCACGGAGGCTCACGCCTGTCATCCCAGCACTTTGGGAGGCTGAGACGGGCAGATCACCTGAGGTCAGGAGTTTGAGACCAGCCTGGCCGACATGGTGAAACCCTGTTTCTACTAAAAATACAAAAATGACCTGGGTGTGCTGGTGGGCACCTGTAATCCCAGCTACTCGGGAGCCTGAGGCAGGAGAACTGCTTAAAACCGGGGGCAGAGGTTGCAGAGAGCTGAGCTCACATCACTACACTCCAGCCTGGGTGACAGAGTGAGACTGTCTCAAACAACAAAAAACAAAAAACAACCAAAAACCCATCCAAATGTATTATCTTACATCTGGAGGCGTCAGGGGTCGAGAACGGGCTGAGCCGACTGTGTTCCACCTGGAGGCTCCGGGGAGGACCCGTCCTCGCCTTTTTCAGTTTCTAGGGGTTCCTGCTTACCTTGGCTTCTGGCCCCACACCCCTCCGGCCACAGCTCCTCTCTGACTCTGACCCTCCTGCCTACCTCTTGTGAAGAGGCTGGCGATTGCTTTGGGTCCACCAGAGAACCCAGGACAATCCCCCATCCCAAGATCCTTCACTTAATCATTTCTGCAAAGTCCTTTTTGCTGTTCAAGGTGCCCTAATTACAGGTTCTGAGAATGAGGGCATGGAGCTGGGGGGGGAGGGGCGGCAGGCGTGGTGGGTGTGTGATTCTGCCTCCCACCCTGCCCTCCCTGAGCTCCACCACTCCTGGCCAAGAAGGAAACAGGCAGGTCCCCAGGGCCGAATCTACCTCCCTCTAACCCCAGGAATGGCTTTGCCCACATGGCTCAGGAAGGGCAGGTAAACAGTGTACCTGCTCCCCTGCCCAGATGCTGCCAGAGCCGCCTCAGCTCTCAAAACCTTTCAAAACCTACCCTGGGTGGCCGAGGTGGGCAGATCATTTGAGGTCAGGATTTCGAGACCAGCCCGGCCAACATGGTGAAACCCCATCTCTATGAAAATACAAAAATTAGCTGGGCGTCATGGTGGGCACCTGTAATCCCAGCTAATCGGGAGGCTGAGGCAGGATTGCTTGAACCTGGGAGGGAGAGGTTATAGTAAGCTGAGATCTTACCACTGCACTCCAGCCTGGGCCTTAAGAATCATCAGACTTGCCGGGCGCGGTGGCTCAAGCCTGTAATCCCAGCACTTTGGGAGGTCGAGGCGGGTGGATCACGAGGTCAAGAGATCGAGACCATCCTGGTCAACATGGTGAAACCCCGTCTCTACTAAAAATACAAAACATTAGCTGGGCATGGTGGCGCGTGCCTGAAATCCCAGTTACTCAGGAAGCTGAGGCAGGAGAATTGCCTGAGCCCAGGAGGCGGAGGTTGTGGTGAGCCGAGATCGCGCCATTGCACTCCAGCCTGGGTAAGAGCGAAACTCCATCCCAAAAAAAGAATCATCAGACTTTAAAGAAACCAAATCACAGGCCGGGCACAGTGACTCACGCCTGTAATCCCAACACTTTGGGAGGCCAAGGAAAGTGGATCACTTGAGGTCAGGATTTCGAGACCAGCCTGGCCAACTTGGTGAAACCCCATCTCTACTAAAAATACAAAAACTAGCTGAGCGTGATGGTGGGTGCCTATAATCCCAGCTAATCGGGAGGCTGAGGCAGGAGAATTGCTTGAACCTGGGAGGGGGAGCTTGTAGTGAGCCGAGATCACACCACCACCAGGTGGGCCTTAAGAATCACCAGACTTTAGGCCGGGCGCAGAGGCTCACGCTGTCATCCCAGCACTTTGGGAGGCCGAGGTGGGCAGATCGTGAGGTCAGGAGATTGAGACCATCCTGGCCAACATGGTGAAACCCCATCTCTACTAAAATACAAAAAATTAGCTGGGCATGGTGGTGGGCACCTGTAGTCCCAGCTACTCGGGAGGCTGAGGCAGGAGAATCACTTGGACCCAGCAGGCGGAGGCTGCAGTGAGCCCAGATCATGCCGTTGCACTCCAGCCTGGCAACAGAGCAAGTCTCCGTTTCAAAAAGTAAAAAGAATCGTCAGACTTTAAAGAAACCAAATCACATGGGAGTTTCTAACAAGAAATGACTGATGAACGCACATGGAAATGAGCTTTCCAGGATCCGTGACCATCTCTCTGGGCCTGGTTTTCCTAAACATCATATACTTCCAACGCGGCCGCCCCTCAGTGGTTGTAGGAGGGAACATCTCCCCACTGCCATCATTCCAGGTAGGGGATTCCAGGAGGGACAGGGAGCTCACCAGCAACTGGGGGAGGAGTCAGAGAAACTCACAGTGGGAGTCTGCTCAGAACAGGGTTGCCATGGGGGGAGAACTGTGTGTGAGTCCAGAGCATCAGGGAAGGCTTCTCAGAGGAGGAGGTACTACTGAGATGAGTCATAAAATGTGGATGAAGCTGCCTGATAAAACAGGGGAAGGACGGGGGCACAGAATGATTTACAAGGAATTTTAAAAGACCACATAGGGCCGGGCGCGGTGGCTCAAGCCTGTAATCCCAGCACTTTGGGAGGCCGAGGCGGGTGGATCACAAGGTCAAGAGATCGAGACCATCCTGGTCAACATGGTGAAACCCCGTCTC